TTATACTGCGGAGGACACTAAAAATCTGCCGGTAGAGCTAGTGGTGTGTTGCTAAACCAACTTATTAGTACTGTTGTAGATAGACACATGGACTCATGCAAGAAATTAGGAAGTATTGTCTTGTCAGACTCTGAACATCATCTCTATACAGAAGTCTCTCCTTGTTACACCTCATCAGGTAGAACTGGAAGCAACTATGGAAGATTATATGCTCAGATTGCTAAGTACAAAAACTCTACAATACCTTACTCAGCAGGCACACATTTTATGTGATGAGAAAAGCCTGAACCTATGTCAGCTAACATTGTTCGTCGAGAAAGGCGATGATTAGGCATACGTAATACATGTCCTAACCATCTCAGTAGATGTAACTTCACAGTCTCGTCGATTGATTTCCTCTCCTTACCTAGAACTCAACAGGTGCCTAACCTCAATATTGCTCACCCTATTATACCACCTAACACGGGAGATAGAACGCAGACGCCTATGATCAAAGACAGTTAATGTTTTCATGTCTTCCACTCTCAATGGCCAGGTCTCACAGCCATAAAGGAGGGCGGAGCGGACTGCTGAGCAGTGCACCCGCTCTTTGGTCGATAGTCGGATATCACGCCTACTACGCCAGAGACGGCGTGAACTTGCATATGTAAAACTAGCCCTCTGTATCCGTTCTGAGAATTCGTCAGAGATCAACCCGTTGGCGTTGGCTGATGGTACTTCCCAAACAAGTGAAGAGGTCAACGTGCTCTACCGCTTCACTTCCTATTTCTAAACTAGGAGTCAGTGTAGTCCAGTCCTGTAACATCATATTACATTTCACAAGGGGAGCGAATCGCATGCCAAACATTCGTAGATTGCAGCTCCGCCTCGCCTAGAGGGGCTATATCGTCTGCATATTCTAAGTCAACGAGATTATTCCCTGGTAACAAGTCAATCCCTGAGTCCCTGAAGTCACTTAGGGTTAAGTCCATTAGTACATCTATGATGAAGTTGAATAGAAATGGGGGTAACGGGCATACATTGACGGACACCACTGGTCGTCGCCACTTCAGATGACAACTCATCGTAAGTCCTCACCTGGCTGCATGAGTTCGAGTAGAGTGTCTTAATCAGTGCAATGTATTTTCTCGGCATTCCCTTTACAACCAAGCATCCCCATAGTACCTCTCGGTCGACAGAATCGAGTACCACCTTTAGGTCAATAAACATAACGATTGTTGAACTCCAGTAGGAATCCCTATGTTCTAGAATCTGTCGAAGGGTGAAGATATGATCAGTACACCCTCCTCCTGGTCTAAATCGCATATGTATAGTCAAGGAGGGTTGGTGCCGACTGAATTATACCTGTCGAGTTTACAATGTATGGTCACCAAACCAGGTGACTTGCTATCGTCTTATTATCCACAGGAAAGAGTACCTCAGGTGTATTTATTAAATTCTTATAGATCAGTTCTGTTAATCATTGTGCTTTTTATGTAGACTTTCTAAAGTCTTATTTAATTCAGTTTTGAAGTTTCCCGTTGATCGATTAAACTGAAGCATTCGGCCTCTGTTGACATGTTGGCTTTTTGTTTGGGTGCTTCGACGTTGTCTGAGGCTTTAGCCTGAAGTAATTTGGTAGATGGTGACTAGCGATGGAATCCAGAATGTGTGTTTCGACCTATTTTGGACTTTTCAACAGAAGCTAAGCACTTCAGTCCAATAAATCAATCAACAGTAAAGTCCAAATTGAATTAAATAATAAATGATACCGTTTGCACAAGAAACAGGTGGCTCTCATGGCCCTGAAACTGTGGATCCTGGGTTCAAGCCTCAGTAGGGGAAGCACCATAAATCACTGGGGAATGCGAGAACATACAGATGACGAGTCCCAAGATATCATCCATCAAACTACTTAGTTGGCAATCTTCTAAATTGCAAGATCAATCATGACCCAACTTCAGTTAGAGAATCAGCACTTCTCCGTTTGCAACGATCCTCTGACTGAAATCAGTTCATAGCCGGAAAAGAGCTAGCGGCGGTCAAACCAAAAGATGGCTTGATCAGTCAATGAAATCTACAACAGCTAGTCTAAGCCACGTAGGAAGGTGTAGGCTTCCTGGTTGGGGTCCTTGGGACGGTAAAAACCAATGGTTGGAAACTATTGGTGATACGGCTCAAAATCATTCTCAATGGCTGGCTAGCGCAGATGCATCCACTCCCTGTGACCTATGATTTCCAATGAAACTGTTTTGTTCTTCGTCATTACTATTCCTTTGTCTCACACCTCTGTTTACTGTCTCTATGATGCATTTCTTTTACTTTCTTCTGCTGCTTTGTGTGCTACAAGCACGAAGTGTGGTGACTTGAACTGCCGCACATATGTGCAAAGTTCTATGTCGAAAACAGACAGACAGACATAATAGAACCTGAAATCAATCAAATCCTTGCAAATCAAGACTTCGAGATTGATCTAGTGCTCATTAGTGATGGAATGTAGGATGAAGATGTCTTCATTTCAAGTGGGAAGTCGTAACCAGCGGGTTTCACAAAGTTGAATATGAGGACAAATACTCACCAATGATCCTGGCTAGTGGTTGCCCTGTATATTGCCAGTTGGAAGGAGTCAGAATTGATGGACTATTGGATTCCGTTCCAGTGGCTGAATTATTAACGATTCGGTCTAGAAGAATGAGGGTTCTGGCGTCTACCCCTACTGGATTTACGAACTGCCTTGGAAATTTTAGTGATATGATGGTCATGTGTGTATATTACCTAAGACTTTCGAACAGGGAAGAAACAGTTGTCTAGTACTCGCTGGTTTCCAGTGTTTATCTAACTAAGTTCAGGTTGTTATCAACCCTGAAATCACTCAGAACCCGGCAAACTAACATTTGTACGACTAAAGCACAGCATGAGATTGATAATGCAGTTAGCGGTACAAATAATAAGACAATATTTACAGTTATCCGGTGTCACCAGGAGAGATTACTATTCCATGCTGAGAGAGACTGAACAAACGTTTTCAGAACGTAGAGACTGGAATGAAGAATTTTTATGCCAACTGTCTCAACTATGCTTAGAAACTAAAGACGTACCAACCTAGGGAATTGAGGTGGCTACCTGTATAGAATTGCAAAAGCTGAATTCTATTATTTTTGATTACAATTTGATTCCGCACCGTATTTTTCGGCACAGGTATGGAATTTTCAGTGTGTGATACCGGTAGCCCAAATTTTGCAGACTGACCATAAATATCAGGTGTGCGTCTGCAGGGGGATCGAACCCAGGACAATATGTATGGTCGGCGACAGCCCTAACTTGTGCTCTCTATCCAGTAAGTGTACTAGTAGGGAACTCCTGATTGAATTTACGACTCTTTCACGTAACCACATTGGAAAACTCTGAAGAAGGCGACAGTGGGCTTACTAAGTTGTTCTAACTACGTAACTGTTTCCATATGAACAGCTAAATTTATAAATGCACACTGAAGTGGCCAGACTCTGTAGCTTATCCTTCACCTGAGTTGGAATTATACAACGAGTGGCGAATTTTAAACACAATACTTCGGCAGAGAATGTTTTAACTAATATTTGAAAATTTTCCAAATCAAAAGACTACACATCCAACAGAAAAACTGATAAAAGAGCGACTTCAGCGACTCAGGGATTGACTTGCTACCGGGGAATAATCTCGTTGACTTGGAATATGCAGACGATATAGTCCTTCTAGGCGAAGACGCTGACGAAATGCAGAGTCTTCTAAACACCTTGAGCCGCAATCTACGAATGTTTGGCATGCGATTCGCTCCCGCCAAATGCAAGATGATTTTACAGGACTGGACTACATCGACGCCTAGTTTAAAAAAAGGAAGTGAAGTGGTAGAGCACGTGGACCGCTTCACTAATTTGGGAAGTACCATCAGCCAACGCCAACGGGTTGATCTCTGACGAATTCTCAGAACGGATACAGAGGGCTAGTTTTACATATGCAAGTTCACGCCGTCTCTGGCGTAATAGGCGTGATATCCGACTATCGACCAAAGGGCGGGTGTACTGCTCATCAGTCCGCTCCGTCCTCCTTTATGGTTGTGAGACCTGGTCACTGAGAGTGGATGACATGAAAAAACTAGCTGTCTTTGATCATAGGTGCCTGCGTTCTATTTCCCGTGTAAAGTGGCATAATAAGGTGAGCAACATGGAGGTTAAGCGTAGAGTTCTAGGTAAACAGGGGAAATCAATCGACGAAGTCGTGAAGCTACAAAGACTGAGATGGTTAGGACATGTGTTACGTATGCCAAGCCATCGCCTCCCTCGACGAGCTATGTTAGCGGATATAGGGTCAGGCTGGAAAAAAGCTAGCGGTGGTCAAACAAAAACTTGGCACCAGTCAATGAAATCCACAACAGTTGGTCTAAGCCACGTAGAAAGGTGTAGAATTCCAGGCTGGGGTCCTCGGGACGGTAAAAATCTATGGTTGGAAACAATTGGTGACATGGCTCAAAACCGTTCTCAGTGGCGCAGATGCATCCACTCCCTGTGACTTATGATCTTCAATGAAACTGTTTTGTATTTCTTTATTACTCCTTTGTCTCACACCTCTGCTCACTGTTTCTATTATGCTTTTCTTGTACTTTCTTCTCTTGCTTCGCGTGCTACACGGAATGTGGCGACTTGAACTTCCGCACATTTGTGCAAAGTTCTATGTCGAAAACAGACAGACAGACAGACAGACAGATAAAAGAGTCTACGAGCTCGCCTTGTAACCAGAAGGTCCTGGGTTCGAACCCTGACGGTGGGTGCGTACTGATGAAGAGTCCCAAACCAATGGGACTAAACAGCTGTCCAGTACTCCCTGGCAGGTTTTCCAATGGTTCTCTAATCAATGTCAGTTCATAATGAAATCCTCAAAACTAATCAATCAAATCCCTACAAACCAATACTTAAATATTACATAACTGGTAAGTTATCAATCAATCAATCAACCAAAAAGAAAGAAAAAAAAAGAAGAAATAGACTCACCAGAAAAATATGATCCAAGTAAAGTTCCTATCCCTTTGCATATTTGTGCTATAGCAATTGTTTGACTTGTTGTCTCTGGTTGTCCTTCACATAAATCCGAAACAACTACAGCTTGTTGTGAAATATACAGGGCTAATGATGCCCCTCTGAAGAACATAAGACTTGATAGTAATTTCAAGTCAGTAGCAAATGCAATAAAAATGATGATTAATGATGAAAAGGCTACACCACCAGTCCAGATAAGACCACGATAGGGTTTAATATATTGATTGTCAAAGAAAAATCCCAATGCTATTCTCACAACTAATTGTACAGTGCCTTCAATCATAAGCAACTGAACTGAACTGCCACCGATATACTAGAGAAAAAGGGAAAGAGAGAACAGAAAAGGATAATAACAATAGTAATAATATGTACACTGTAATTATACACTGTTTGATTTATTTTAGCGTTACAAAATCGGGTGAATTTTCATTTAACATGTATATATTATTATTATTTATTATCGTCTCCTTTGATTCCTAGAGGAACATAGGGCTTCAACCGCGCATCTTCATTGCCTTCGGTTTTCTGCCAACCTCTTCACCCCACTCCCAGTCTGCCCACATGCCCATTCATCTCCTCTTCATATGACCTCCTCCAAGTCACCCTTGCACTGACGACCAACTAGCCGCTTCCCTTTCGGGTTCCACTCGAGCAATAGCTTGTCTAGTGATGTCACTCACTTGATGGTTTTCTCAGTGTATGGCCCATCCATCTCCATTTCTTCATGCCTATTTGTTTCAAAATCGGTTCCTGGTTGCTTCGCTCACTGCCAGAGATCCCTGTTGCTCATCTTTTCTGGCTGGCCATCTGATCTTGAGTATTGAGCGAAGACAACTGTTAATGAAGGTCTGAAGTTTGTTTGAGATGCTCTTTATGACGCGCTAGGTCTCTGATCCGTATAGTAGCACTGACTTCACATTGAGGTTGAAAATCCACATCTCATTTTTGATGCTGAGTGCTGTTGACCTATCTCCACACAGACTTAAGAGTAATGAAAGCTTGTCTTGCTTTTCCGATTCTGGCTTTGATATCCTCGTCAGTTCCGTCGGCCTGTAGTTGAAACGATGCTTCCCAGGTAGGTAAAGGAGGTTGTTTCTTTCAGGTCCCTCCCATTTACACTGATTGTTGTCTGTTGTTGTTGGCCAGGAATCGTCATCACCTCTGTTTTCTCTATGTTCACCTGAAGGAGGTCCTATCTTTGATGCTTCTTCTATCGCCAACTTGTTGCTTTTCACTTGCATATCTTCCAGTTTGTGAGAAATCAGACATATATAAGTCATCGGCGAAGTTCAGATCCTCCAAGTTCGTTTTTTGTGTGAGTCCATTTTATGCCAGTTTCCTAATTGCCCGTTGTCTGTCGCATTATCCAATCTACTGCAGTGAGGAAGATCATTGGCGATAGTAGACAGCCAGCTTGTCTCACTCCCGTCCTCAATATGAAGGCTTCCATAAGTTTACCGTTGTGGATTACTTGGCATGTAGCCATAAAATTCCATTGAAACTTCAAAAAAGAAACCCCAACTGGAATTCATCCGAAGGATAGTCGAAGATGTATATCTCATCGGTCAGTGAATTTGGATCCATAAAAAGAAACTAATAATAATAAGCAGTCAAGATGTCCGGTTTATGTGAACTTGAAGGCATAGATTTCGTCGATTCTCATAACCTGTTAATTTAATTGTTAATTAGAATACTCTAAAGAGGATTTCTAAACATTCAGTTATGTGTTACAGCTGAGATAATACATACATTTGGGTGGAAATTTCCCCTAACAAGACTAGGGTAAAGAGTAAATCAAACAATAGTATTGATCTAATTTAAAGATTAAAATAACAAATGCCATAGAATTTCAACTAATCTAAGCTTCGTAGGGATTAAAGTTTGTCTCTGTCTTTCTTTCTTTGCACACACACACACACACACATACACACACAGAAAAGAAAAAAGAAAACATTTTTAAGCCGAAATAGTCAAAGTGTATTTTTCATGAACATGACGTCTAGAAGTCAGTTAAATGTGTTCAAAGAGAGAGAGGAGAAATCTTTGGTGTGTATATTACTGGAAAAAAACAAAAATACACCCCCCCCCCGCAGTGAATTGTCGATATAAATTCTCTGAAATGTTTTAACGAACTTAGAATTAAAAAAAAAGGAATCCCTGATTGTGGTCGACTGGATCATGTAATAAACAGTGAGCATATGTGGAGAGAGAGAAGATGGGCATACGTTAGGCAGACAAAAGAAAGAAGACTCTAAAAAAACATCTGAACTTCACAGAAAATTTCTGTTTAAAGCTAAACAAACTTGAAGATGTACAGGGTAAAATCTTTAAATCGTCAGAAAAGGCAATGGAAGATGGGACTTCAACTGAATATAGAGAAAACAAACCAATAAGAAAAACAAACATTAATCGTCACCATCGGGAGGAGCTTGACGGAAATCAGCTCTTTAGCATATCTAGGCAGCATGGTTTCATCTATAGACAGACAGACAAGACAGACTTTCGTTACTATGAAATCGATGTGGAAATCTACTGCGCTTAGTATAAGGAAAAAAATTTCGGATTTTCGACACTTATGTCAAATTAGTGCTTCTACATGGTCTAGTGACTTAGTGTGTCACGAAAAGTATCTCCAGTAGGCCACTGAACACCTTCACGAACAGCTACCTTCCTTGTCTTGATATTTAAGTTAAAACGTCTGACCATAAGGTATAAAAAAAACAAGGAATTCTGGGAATTCATCAACCAACAACATCTTGCTCAAAAAATATCCAGAAGTAAATGCAGATGGAGCGACATCTCTCCACTCATCTTCTTGTCTACCTCTGTGTGCTATTTGGAACGTGGCAACTCGAACTGGTGCACTTCGGTGCCAAGTTCTATGTTGAATCCAGACAGACATCACGCTCCAAACCTTCGAATGGAACCTAAATGGGAAAAGATGAGTTGGGTATTGGTAAGAGGGTGATATGAAGGAGAGAGTGTGTGGAGAAGATAAAAGCTTACGAGCAATCGTCGGATCATCTAAAAAGAGTTTTAGAGAGCAGAGCGGAATGCAGATGTACTTCTGAAGCTCTATGAGTCACTCGGAACCCAAGGGGATGATAATGATAATAATTTCTGTTAACGTTTGCTAGAAGTAATCCGACATATGATGGGCTACTTAAAGATATTTACTGATAAGCTAAACAAGTAATTTAAATCGCTAATCCAGCAAACAGTTAGTCATAATGAAGTCTATCAGCGAGAATGCCACATATTTATAAATTTACATTTACCTATACCTATTTAAGTCTAAATATTAGTCAATGGTTTAACGGTAGATTGCTCGCCAACTACTCATGTAGTGGGTGGGTCGACCCCCGGCCGGCACACTCCTAAACTTCTCTAAGCCGGTACAGAAGGAAGGTTTGAAATGAGGCTAACAACCCCAAACCGTGAGAAGAAACACCACTTCCACAGAAACTTCAAAGCTCTAGCTTGAAGCCAACCTATTTTGCACTGGGAACGTTAAGGAATAGAACAAAAATGCAATACACATAAAAAAGAAAACAGTTTTTACTTTAGTAGTAAAGCCTTGTATATTTTACAAAGAACAACTACTGATCATCAATGTTCTGTTTTTGTCAATCAAGATCCTGTATGCCACTTAAAGTAGGAGTTGATTGGAAGAAAGGGATACATAGTCTGACTTAAACGCGGAACCAAACAACACAGGGAAGTCATCGGCTATTAATCTGAGCTGTGAAGAAAGGAATAAGTTATTCTGGTTAAAATTCACCTAACCGCTGGAAACCATAATTACAGTGTTACATATCCATTGCCATCTCTTATATTACTTTCAATGGCAAAGCATAAAATAGATACCACGGCCAAGTGACCTTGGGCCAACCAATCAGGTCTTTAGGCTTTACAAAAGGATGCTTTCCACAGTCTTCGCTATAAATTTCATCTTGATTTAGGGTTAAGGTTATGGCTGAGGTTACCATACGGTTCGGGTAACGTTACGGCGAGTATAAGACTGTGGTTTATGGTTAGTGTACGGCTAGGGTGAAACTTTCAACAAAGATTATGAACAGCAGCCATTTGAAATGTTGAGCGTTGTGACTATCATTAACAGGATACATTTATCACAAAGTCAATCATTCATCAGGATTAGTGTGTCCTAGAACTGATATTCATACATATTCTGTTGAAGGAATGTGGACATATCAAAAAACAGATTAGAATGGTATATGTCCACAACCATTCTTATTAAAAAGTGGGACCTACTTCTACAGAATATTAGAAATGTACACCCTGTGTGATTCATTTTCGTTACATATATATCCCATAAATATACCTTTTTATACAATAAATGCCACTTTTCCCCTACAGGAGTCTGATTGGTTGGTTCAGGACCATTTGCAGTATTTTCTGTTACCCTTTCAACTGTAACTTCGACAGCCACACATTTTTTGACTTGTATAATTTGAATTCCCTATCTCCTTTTCTTAGTGACTACCTTCTGACTTATATGCGGATGTGGTAACGTTAACTACTAAACAGTAATCACAAGTCCTATAGTTATTCTATTCGTTTTTCGTTATAAACTCTGAAGACAGATAAAGAGATGCTGACCAAATATATGATGGTGATGATGTCACTTTATTTCCTCAAATCTTATCCAGCTACTCATATTCTGCTAATATCTAATCAGAGTTATCCGGACCCCATGCAAGGCTGTGAATTATACTTGTTGTGTGAAGCTTGATAACACTACTAATTTGCCTGAGTTAAAGTATTGTGAGGAGGACTCGAAACTGGGACCCATTGGATGAAAGCCCTGGGCTTAAGCCAATCAGTCATATCTACGTGTTAGACTGACAAGTTATTCATCTTTTCCTTAGTTGATGCAACCATTAAACATAATCATTGATATAAGAACAGCTGCAAGACTGATCCCGATACCTGTTTTAAAGCTAACAATTTATTTTTATTTTTTTTTATTTTGTGGTTACAGCTTGATTCCACACTGTATTTTTGGTACAAGAGTGGAATTTTCAGCGTGGATATCGGTAGCCCAAAATTCGCAGGCCAACCATAGATATCAGGTGTGCGTCGGCGAGGGCTCGAACCCCGGACCATGTGCATGGTCGACGAGAGTCCTAACCACTGTGCCACCGACGCAAACTTGATATTGGAGGTAAAATTTGATCTGAAAGCATATCAGAGCTGCTTGTCGAACATCAGAATGATCTGCATAGTTTCCCTTCCCCCGATTGCTAGTTTTCTAATGATGACTACTGAATATGTAACACTAAGAAACCCGATTTGAGTGGTTAACAGACGGAGGCACTCATTTTCGCAACCATCTACAATAAAATGAGAATTTTAGAGTTTATCCAAACTACTGAGCGTTGTTCCTTTCTCAGTTATGTTACTATTTATCTCCTTTAAAACTGTAGTTAAAAAAGTGTTTCGTGACAAGTAAATCCAATCAAACAAGACTCTGATCCAAGATCATCTAGTTTTGATTAATTCCAAAAGATGTTATCAACATACTATGATTTACTTAGAAGTCTTGTAAAAATTACACAAATCTGTCTGTCATTATGCATGTTTCTTAACATTGTCATACTGCGTATTGTTAGACTGTTACCAAATTAGTAGACCTGTTCTGCTTAAGAAAAAGTTTGAATTTTTTCAGTGTAGTACAGAATGCCATACTTTCAAGGTTTACAGGTAATCAAACGGCGTTTAACTCTAGTCAAAACGGCAACTAACCATACATATCGAAATTTTCACCAGTGTCACAGTTTACAAGCAAATATAAAAATTCGGCAAACTTTATCGGATTTTGTAGGGATAAGGTGGTTTTGTTTCCACAATATACTTACTTGTAAATATGAGTGTCAAGATTTCAACAAACTTTTAAAAAAAATCATTCTATCCCTCGTAAGATTAGCGTATATAGAGCTTACAACGTAGAGACATCAATCTTCCCTGAAATCAGTCCAAGTACCAGTTTAATTCTTACGTTATACTTATACACAACTGTTAGAAAAATGAATTTCAGTGTGTATCCTTTAGTTATTTATTTGCAGTACTGGGCAAATAACGACAATTGTATCAATTACTAATGTAGATGATATTTGGATCCCATAACCATCGAAATGTGTGATATAGGAAGGCAAAAGCCTCACACATTTTCGTTGTTGGTCTTTAACTACTAGATATTTTGATGATAAAGGTCGACATACATTTTACTAGAGGCAGTCATCTTGAACACTGATGCCAACAAAAATAGGATTGTGACATTCAATGAAATTCGATTCCAACAGCTATAAGTCACTTGACATGTTTGTCAAAAGTAAACAGTGTTTGAAACGTGACCCAACAGACAATAACAATTTTTCTGTGTGATTCATCTAATAAAACGAATTATGGAGCTATATTTTAAGAGTGTTTAATTTCCATACTATAATGTTATCGAGTAATGTTTCCGGAGATAATTCACGAACTTTAATATAATAGTACTTAAATATCACATGAATTTGAATGATGCAAGCCGTCAAAACAAGTAATAGATCCGTTCCAATTGTGTGAACCAGTGGCAGTAGCAATTTAGGTGACAAAATCCATTCCTTGTGTTCTTTTAAATGTATCAGTGATGCTATTTATAACACAATTCAGCGTCAAAGATATATAAATCAAACGTAATAAAGCTCTTTAACTTACCCCAAGCTGTTCTGCATGATCTATGAGAAGTGTTGTTACCGGCGATGAACCCATCATATTCAAAATGAATGAAAGTAAAAATATCTTCACCCATATTCCTGATGCAACCTTAATTTTTAGCAGACGACTGATATACTTCACAACTCTTGAGGATATGCTTAATTTGACTTTTGATGGCTCTGAATCCTGTACATTATCTTTCTTCGGTTCTCTTTGGTAGTATAAGGCACCAGCAACACAGTAATGGAGACTGAACGCAGAAAGAATAATCATAGCACCACGTAGTCCATAATAACTGATTAAGAAGTAAAATAAATACGGTAAAATTATAGTTGCGACACCACATCCAGCTAGAGAAAGACTGAGAGCCGTCGCACGACGTTTGTGGAAGTAATGCGTACATACAACCAAGGAGGGAGTATAAGAAAGAGTTAATCCGAAACCTAGAAGTGTTACTTGAATAATTTTTCCTTACCGAATACAGCTCCATATGCAATGAAAAAAATGGTAAAGTGAGGACTCAGCGCTGCTGTTAGAAGACCGATAAATGTCAATAAGCCTCCTGCCATAGCCACTTTTTGTTCAGAGTATATATTACTTAGCGAAACGGATAGAGGGGCTAAACATAAAGTATTTAATAAATGGACAAACCTAATAAAAGTCGAACTGCAGATGCGAAACCTCCGAGAGCAGCAGAGAGAGCAGCACTTGTATTATATACACGAATAATTTCCACATAAAGGACAGAATATCCCTTTTCAAATCCACATGTCATGAAATGAGATATGAATGCACCAAAAACAACCACCCATGCCCATCCTCCATCCTTGTATTTAGACTCGTCCACCATCCCTTGGAAAATGTTATCTATACACGCAAACCAGAAAATACATATGTATTTTTGAATGTTTTTCCAATAGTTAGTTCATTAATGTGCCTGTTTTAAACACCATCCTTCAAGCTTCAATTCACATATCAAAGAATATTGGATTGCGAGCAGTCACATTCTGAAGTTTTATGATATTTTGAAAAAATATTACTAGTTAAGGCTAAATTACTCATTTTCAGCCGGCAAAAATCCAAAAATATCACCCTGTGATGAACGTGGAGAATTTAGTACACTTTGGGCAATTTATCCCTGGTGTTGCGGTGAATTTCTCATCACTTTTTAGACACCCATAGCGTCCCAGGTGTTGTCACTTATTTCCAGTTAATTTCATCCAAGGGCTTTTATGATTGAGTAATCCACCCGACTGTCAGAAATTCCCTGCAGATGTCCACCTAAGCGTCGCTGCAAAGACCACTGATTTAGAATCTCCCACCTTGATGCACAACACCTCTGATAGGATCCCAAGCACTTTGTTACTGATCAATTATTTCAACGGCTGTTAATGTCGCATAAATGGTGTATCATCATTTCCCACGCACTTTGTTATTGATTATTACGATCAATTATTTCAAATGCTGTTAGCTGTCTGTATTGTTGTAAAAATGTATAAATACCATGTGTTCTTTGTCGTAGTTGCTGTACTACAATATACAGTCACAGGCCAGCCTTTGTCTTTTGATATTTGCGTGGTTCACTGAATCGGAAGGTACCACAAGCAGATAGGCATATTAGTCAGGCGCAGACAGAACAAGGCGAAAACGTCCTCATCTAATTCCCTACAGTTATAACAAATTGGCGACGGGGTTTACCTTAATTCATTGCAGCTATAACAAGCAAGCGACGACGGGTTTTATTCTGTTCAGCGCAGCTATAGAACATTTTTGACTGTGTTAATTACAACCCAATTACAATGTCTATCTCTCTGGACGATCTCAAATCTATCTTGCAGCAGCAGCAAGTTCAGAATGAAGCAGCTCAACTAAAATTAATCGAAGCTCTCACTCAGAAGCTGTCCATTCAAGTTCCATCAACATCTCATTCAGACAAATATGAAAGCATCTCAAATTCCATCAGTGAGTTCAACTACGACCCAATATCTGGTCTCGTATTTGATGCATGGTTCAATCGTTACGAAGACGTTTTCCGTATTGAATGCTACATGTTTGATGATGCTGCCAAAGTCCGATTGTTACTAAGAAAACTTGGTACTGTTGAGCACAACAGATATGTTAACTTCATTCTGCCTAAGAACCCACGTGAGTTATCATTCGATGAGACAGTCACCGTTTTATCACAAATCTTTGGTGAACAGTCATCCATGTTTAATATTCGGTATCAATGTTTTCAGTTGACAAAAATGCCTTCCGATGATTATGTCACTTACGCTGGCAAAGTGAACAAGGAATGTGAAAGGTTCAAACCACACGAAATGACATCAGATCAGTTCAAGTGTTTGATTTTTATTTGTGGGTTGAAGAACCCAGAAGATACTGACATAAGAACTCGACTTCTGTCACTCGTGGAACAAGACCCGAAAATGACTTTACAAATGGTGACAGCAGAATGCCTACGTTTAATCAACTTGAAGCACGATACTGCTATGGTGGAGTGCAAACGACAGTCGTCTGAATTTGGTTCGATTAACACAGTGAAAAGTCCTCCGATCACCGTTAAGCACACAGCACGTCAGTCTCAAAATTCAGCTAAACCTCCTTCAGTGTGCTGGCACTGTGGTTCGTGGCATTTTGTCAAGTTCTGTCCTTTCAAGAAACATAAATGCCGTAATTGTCACCGTTTTGGACATAAGGAGGGTTACTGTCCACCGCAGAAAAATTCTTCGGTGAGGAACAGAAGTAGTCGTTTCAAGCCGAAACAATCTCCTCGAGTACAGACCATTTTCACAACTTCCAAAGTCGATTTCGCCAGCAAACGTAAGTACATTACACTAGGTATTAACGGCAAACATATTCGTCTTCAGTTGGATACGGCATCAGATATCACCTTAATTTCCCGAACTACGTGGCGCAAACTTGGGTGCCCACAGATTCTGCCGACCGAGCATGTCGCTAAGAATGCCTCTGGAGATATACTGAAACTCGTGGGTGAGATAAATTGCCAGGTTCAGTTTGGTGAGCATCACTTCAATGGTGTATGTTACGTCACAAACTACCATGATTTGAATTTGCTTGGTCTTGACTGGTTAGACAAGCTCCATATCTTCAATGTACCATTAAATTCAGTATGCTCTAATGTTTCGTCCTCACCACATAACGTTGTTCCCGGACATGTATCTGATCAGTCTCTCTTGCAACGCCTGCGTCAAAAGCACGCTTCTGTCTTCCAGGACAAACTTGGTTGCTGCAAATTTACCCAAGTTGTTTTGTCTCTAAAGCCAAACGCGAAGCCAGTTTTTCGTCCAAAACGTCCAGTTCCGTATGCTGCTGTCACATTGGTTGAGAATGAACTCGACAGACTGGAAGCATTGGGTGTCATCAAACCAGTAACGTATTCGCCCTGGGCTGCCCCTATAGTTGTTGTACGCAAAGCAAATGGTTCCATTCGCCTGTGTGCAGATTTCTCAACTGGGTTAAATGATGCTCTAGAGGATCATGCTTATCCATTACCAATTCAAGAAGACTTATTCGTCAAACTTAATGGTGGTAAATGTTTTGCAAAAATTGACCTTGCTGATGCTTACCTTCAAATAGAAGTTGAACCAAAGTCTCGAGAGTTGCTAACAATCAACACTCATAGAGGTCTCTACCAGTTTACTCGCTTACCATTTGGTGTGAAACCAGCACCCGCAATTTTTCAGCAGATCATGGATACTATGCTTGCTAACCAACCTGGTGTTGCTGTCTACCTCGACGATGTGATAATCACAGGGAGTAGTAAGTCTGAATTGTTTGATCGACTTGACGCTGTGCTATCCAAAATGTCAGAGTTTGGGTTCTACCTTAAAGAGGATAAATGTACATTTTTCATGGATTCAGTAAAGTATCTTGGGTTCATTTTTGATGAACATGGACGTCGACCAGACCCAGAAAATGTACGTGCTATTCAGAATATGCCCGCTCCCACTAATGTTGCCACTCTGCGATCTTTCCTTGGCCTCATCAGCTATTACAGTGCATTTCTACCAGAGCTTCATCGCATACGTGCTCCACTGAATCGCCTGTTATCGAAAAATGCAAAATGGAATTGGTCACCTGAATGTCAAAATGCATTTAAAAAAGTAAAATCGTTACTCCAGTCAGACATGCTGCTTACTTATTATGATCCAAGTCTTGAAATCATCCTTGCTGCAGATGCATCCGACTATGGTATTGGTGCTGTTATATCTCATCGTTTTCCTGACGGAAGGGAGAAAGCTATTGCACATGCATCTAGAACACTGAATACAACCGAACGCAAATATAGCCAAATTGAGAAAGAAGGTTTGGCGCTTATCTTCGCAGTCAAAAAGTTTCACAAAATGCTTCATGGTAGGAAATTCACCCTATTTACTGACCATAAACCCCTGTTGTCGATATTTGGTTCGAAAAAGGGCATTCCAGTGTACACTGCGAATCGGCTTCAAAGGTGGGCTGTCATGTTACTGGGATATAATTTTGATATCAAATACAAACCTACCTCTGAATTTGGCCAGGTAGATGCATTATCACGGCTGCTAAGCCATCAGAAGTTGGAAAGCGAGGATGTTGTTATTGCATCCATCTCTGTTGAAGATGATGTAAACAGAGTTCTGGTAGGCGCGACTCAACTTCTTCCGGTGACTGCAGTTGAGGTTGCCAGACACACACTGCGTGATCCAGTTTTACAGCAAGTATCAAAGTTCATCCGATTTGGCTGGCCTCCACATGTTCATTCAAATGTTTTAAAACAGTTTTACCAGCGACGCCAATCCTTATCCATCGTTAATGAATGCATAATGTTTGCTGATCGTGTTGTGGTTCCAGCTAATCTTCGTAACCATGTGCTTCGTCAGCTTCATACATCACATCCTGGTGTTGGGAGAATGAAGGCGATCGCTCGCAGTTATGTTTACTGGCCCAACATCGATGACCATATCGAAGACCTCGTTCGCAAATGTAGTAAATGTGCTCAAGCATCAAAGTGCCCACGCAAGACAGAACTATGTTCCTGGCCACGACCGGACAAACCATGGTCCCGTGTTCATGTTGACTTCGCTGGACCGTTCAATAGTATGCATTTCTTAATATGTGTCGACGCGTTTTCCAAATGGCCAGAGATATTTCCTATGCATTCTGCCACATCAATTGCAACAGTGTCCCACCTACGTCAACTATTCTGTCGTTTTGGTATGCCTGATGTTCTGGTGTCCGATAATGGATCGCAGTTCACCTCATCACTGTTCTCAGATTTCTGCAAACTGTTTGGCATCCAGCATATTCGTAGCCCCCCGTATCATCCCCAATCGAATGGACAGGCTGAACGTTTCGTCGACACCTTTAAGCGTGCTTATGCAAAAGCGAAGGGGGAGGGAACAACAGAAGAAATTTTGGATAGATTCTTGCTGCATTATCGTACGACGCCAAATCCTTCCGCCCCAAATCAGTTATCCCCAGCGGAAATTATGTTTGGCCGGAAGATCAGAACTGCCCTCGACTCAATTAAGCCTAGGCAAGTAAAGCAGGGCTGCAGAAATACAAAAATGGAAAACCAATTCAATCGCCATCACGGAGCTAAACGTCGAGTTTTCAAATTGTATCAGCAAGTTTATGTACGAGATTTTCGCTATTCACCTCCGAGATGGATTCGAGGACAAATAGTGGGGCAGAAAGGAAGGGTTTTATACAAAGTGAATGTAGAAGGACAGTTATGTGTCAGACACACGAATCATATACGAGATGCGTCAGATAGACCCGACAATGGGAGACGAGACCTCACGTTAGAAGTATTAGTAGATACATTTAATCTTCCGCAGCCGGAAGCCCGGGACACAGATCACACTCTATCCAGTACCACGCGAAGGTCAACTCGACAAAGAAGAGCTCCGAAACCTTTTCAAATAGATCCAAAAAGCAAGTCCTAAACTTTTTACGGGGAGAGGTGATAGGATCCCAAGCACTTTGTTACTGATCAATTATTTCAACGGCTGTTAATGTCGCATAAATGGTGTATCATCATTTCCCACGCACTTTGTTATTGATTATTACGATCAATTATTTCAAATGCTGTTAGCTGTCTGTATTGTTGTAAAAATGTATAAACACCATGTGTTCTTTGTCGTAGTTGCTGTACTACAATATACAGTCACAGGCCAGCCTTTGTCTTTTGATATTTGCGTGGTTCACTGAATCGGAAGGTACCACAAGCAGATGGGCATATTAGTCAGACGCAGACAGAACAAGGCGAAAACGTCCTCATCTAATTCCCTACAGTAATAACAACCCCCAG